GACTCGAGTCCTCTCCACCAGGCCTTCCCATCTCTGCCCCTCCTATCAGTCTGGATAAATGTTTCTTTAACTCCTGTCTCACTTTCACTATATTCTGTTGGTTAGAAGTACATATTCCAATCACACCCAAAGAGAAGGGATTACGCAAGGACATGGCTCATTTGAGGTCATCTAGGGTGTGTCTGCCACATCTGTCTATGAATTCTACTTTTTCACCTTTATTCAAATTTAAACTTTCCCAGAAAGACAGATGAGATGGCATGTCTGGTCTTTCATCCATCATATCTGTCATTAGAGGCCTGGCTCTTCTTCAGAACAGGCTTTTCAGCTGTCCCTTCCTAGCAGACTCTAATACCTCAGCAACATGTCAAACATGTTTGGATCAGTGATGAGTCAGGTGAATTTGTCTTCACATCAATTGCTTCTTTTCTGGAAACTCTTCTTTTTAACAAATTAAAAGTCTGCCTGTGTTATAATGATCAGGTTATGATTCTGCCCCTCTTTCCCATAGACTGTGCTCTCCTGGAGGAGGGTGACAGGCATGGACCAGTCTGCCTCCTTATCCCTCATGTATTCCCCCATCCCTGCTGCTGAGCCTGGATAGGATGGTACTCAGTGTACCAAAAAAACTGCAGACATTTTTCGAAGCAGGAACTGTGTGTGACTTTTACCTCATTGTCTACTTTGGTCAACACTGGGGTATATTGAATCCTTTTTTCTTCTTAAAAATATTTTATTTATTTATTTTTAGAGAGAGGGGAAGGGAGGGAGAAAGAGAAGGAGAGAGAAAGATCGATGTGTGGTTGCCTCTCATGTGCCCCCTACTGGGGACTGGGCCTACAATCCAGGCATGTGCCCTGATTGGGAATCGAACTAACAATCATTTTCTTTGCAGTCTGGTGCTCAATCCAGTGAGCCACACCAGACAGGGTTGAGTTATTTTTTAATGGCCTTTGTTTTATAAGGATAAGTACATAATTAGGTCCTTAGCTCAAAGGAGGCACATGAGGTAGAAGAATCCTGCAAAGTACAGGTCAGTTGGTTGTCCCTAGGAAGTAGTATGCACAATGTCTAAAGGATAGCATTGCTGGACAAGTTGTATCCTTGGTGTATTCTGGAAGTGACAAATTTGGCAAGAATGTTAGAAGGCACAATCAGAACCATAACAACTAAATGACAGATGTAAGGTTCAATTCTACAATGTCCCACATTAAGAAAATGGTTTCCTTGGAGGAAGGTGTGCTAAGTGTGTCACACATATTTGAAGCCTTTTTGCCCACTATACTTGGGCTGAGGAAAATGTTCTAGGATCTCCCCGTTAACACTTCTAGGCCTTTTGTGTCTAAACCATTAGGGCAGAAAAGTAAAGTGGTTTTTTTTTAAAGTATTTTCTTCATTTATTTTTCGAGAGAGGGGAAGGGAAGGAGAAAGAGTGGGAGAGAAACATCAATGTGTGGTTGCCTCTCATGCGTCCCCTGCCGGTAACTGGCCTGCAACCCAGGCATATGCCCTGACTGGGAATTGAACCGCGATACTCTGGTTCGCAGGCCCGCGCTCAGTCCACTGAGCTACACCAGCCAGGGCCCGTAAAGTGGTTTTAAGTGAAGCTGACAGACCGCCCTGTACTTGACCAACTCAACAACTCAGTGTAGTCAAACTGTTGAGTCTCAGGAGGTGGCAATGCAAATAGGCTTCTCAAATAAGGCCTACAAAGTGTAAACAATCACCTAGGTAATGAGGTCATAGGTATACACCTTATGAAAACAGGAAGAACATGTAGGTTAATTAATATAACAACCCACAAATCAGCCTCTGAGTTCATGAGGTTGCCTCTTGAGAAGATATTAAGTTGCAAGGCCTTTCCTGGAATGATATTAAATAGTGACAATCTGACAAATTCTTCCTGCTCATAAATTGAACATCTTTGATGTCACAAACCCAGTTCAACTTCTAAGTGAAAACAAAATTTTGAAGAGATTTATATATACTAGAGGATAAAGTCTACCACTGAGCATTGTGATTTTCCTTGAAACATGATTTTTCTCCTTAAGATCACCCTCATTGTCACTAAAGGGACTGTGTTAAGTGCAGTTTTAATTTTTGCCCACTCATTTGCAAAAACACAAGAGTAACAATTGATCACGTAGGCTCTTTGAATCTGTTTTGCTGAAACTCGTGCAAGAAACCTTTAGATTGAGCTTTAGTCAACCTTTCAGGGCACAGAGGCCAAGTCACACAACTGCCAGGAAAATATAGATTTTCCTGTAGTACATATATTCCTCGAGTCCTTGAGGTTCCCAAAGGATCTTAAAGTTACTCCTTGCCGTATTTCAGGAAAGCAATCTTTGTTCCTTCCTTGGAAAGACTGCAATGAACCACATGACCAATCTCAGTACCAGGCCACTTTTCCAGTGGGCCTTTTTTTTTTGGCCACAAGAGTCGATCTCAGCTCCTCAAGGCCTTCTGGTAACAATTAGAATTCAGGCATGCCTCCTGCAGGCATGACATTCCAGTCAGAGTCTTGGCTAACAAAACCACCATTGGAAACTGGTCTTAATTGGTTTTATGCAAAGAAACTTTATATGATCTCCAGAATATCAAATTCTGGAGGGCTCAGATAGGGAAAAAATATAAAGTGTGAAGGAAAAATCCTTGTCCTTCCAATATCCATCAAGATTGCATTCCCATGCCTTACACCTTTCACTGTTGATATTCTACTTGATATGAAGTTTTAACTCTCCCTGGGAAACTTCACTTTCTTTCTGAAACCAAAGCAAAGTCCAAAACAAAGACAGAGTTCCGGAAGAGTGGGTACTAGGACCAGTCTTAGAATTTTGTCTCATAACCTTCGGTCACACTAGCTGGTCACATAGAGAGACTTTCTTAGGTACCAAATGGCCCAAAGCCCCAATGGTAGAGGTATTCCCTCACCTACCAGTATGCACACTGGTCTTCTGGCAGAGGCATGACTTCTTATCCCCAGGTAGTAAGCCCACCAGCATTCAATGGTACAAAGCCTCAATAGTAGGGGTACTCTCTCGCCTACCAGTGCGTTCACTGGTCTTGGCAGAGACATGACCTCTCACCCCAGACTTGCCTCTGCTGACCTCTACTAGGTCCCAATGGCCAAACAGTAGAGACAGAAAATTCCCAATTTACACAAAACAACAGAGTTTAAACAAAGTCTCTGTAAGATCAGAAAGTAAGCGAGAAACAAATCAAGCAAAGTATAATTGCACCTAAGAGCCAAGGTTTCCTTTCTTTCAGGTTTAAGAGTTTCACAACATACTATATCCTCTACAACTTTTACTTGTTCAGAAATAACTGTAACTCACTTTCAGTTCTTGTTTCTTTTTTCTCAGTGGGAAAGACCATACTCTAACTCAGTATCTGGTAATTAAGTGTCCCTAGACTTGCAAGCACATAAATAAAGTAAAAGGAACATTGTTACTTTCCATTGGGAGTCACTGTTCTTTTCCAAAAAGAAAAAAATTGAAATCTCCTTCTGGAGTGCAGGTCCAGCTTTCCCTTTCAGCATCAATCACAGCGGCAGGATTTGTCTTCCTCAAGCAGTGCGTGTTTTATCTGTGGGTGGTGGATCTAGGGCTTGATTCCCATCAGCTTTAGGGAAGTGTACATTGTCAACAGGACATCATAAGGACCAGTCCACTGTTCTGCTAGCTTCTTTTTGGGACCTTGAGTCAGGAGAACAGCCAGAAGCTCCTCTTTCCAGGGGGAATCCAGTCAGGCTCCAGTGTAAATAGCCACCCATGCTGGAGCCTGAAGAAATAGCAAAGCAAGTGCAGCAGCAGTGGCAGCAGGCCACAGGCCATAACCATGTTCCGGCTATCATTTGAGGAAGCATGCCTCTTACTGACAGCCACCTTGCTCTTCTGCTTCCTGGCTGTGTGACCTTGATCAAGTGATTCAGCCTCCTGAAGTTTAATTTCTGGATTTGTAAAATGGGAATGATAGCAGCATCTAGTTCCTATTATTGCTGTGAGGAGAAAATTAGCATTTTGCCTGGGTCATAAGGATACTCAATAACAACACTAATATTTATGCATTTCTTTGTGCAAAAAAGATCTCCAATCCACTTGGAACTGTGTTAGGTTATTTCACGGGGGAGTTGGGGTGAGTCAGAAAGAGAATGGGGACTGTGATGTCCTTTCCCAGCCTTCAGTCCCAGGCAGACAGTAAATGTTTTCTGTTAGGAAGTTATTTCCTTCATTCCTCCTATTTCATGTCACTGGCCAGCCACACCTGGGCTCTGTGGTCCGGTCCTCTAACACTGTCAAACATGATTGGGACAATGGTTGCTTCCTTTGCCTAGATCGCCCTTCTTGCAGACACCCACATAGCTTGTTTTCTCAACTCCTTGGAGATTTTGTTCAAGCGTCACTTTACTGACCACTTCCACAAAAGGTAACAAGCAGCAACTCCCTCCCCTCCAGACCATACATGTTCACTGGCACTCTGGGTTTTTGTTTTGGTTTTTTTTTTGTTATTTATTCTCCACAAACTCCACAAGGTAAGGGACTTAGAACTTACAAGCCCCCTATAGTGTTTGATGTACATATCTGTGGTACTTAGTGTTTGTTGAACAAATGCATGGGAAGGGGGTCAGGAAGCCTGGTTCTTAAAGGGCCTCACTCAAGGCGAATGGCATTTGGCATGATCTGTAAGGAAAAGTTACTTTCATAGAAAGAAGAAATAAAGGGCCTCCAGGTAAGAAGCATAGCTCAAGCTAGGGCAAAGAGGCAGGACACTGCTGGTTAAGAACAGTGGTTGCATCTCAAAACTTTGGAAACACCTGGAAAGACTCTCTGCAGCAGGTCTGCAAACAGGTTAGATAGCTTACAAGGGCCTCTCTCTCGCCACCAGGCCCCACCTCCTAGAATTGGGGCGGGGACAAAACGCGCAGGCGCAGTTGAACTCTGGCGGCAACCAGGCCTGTGGGTGCAGAGACCCCGTCCAGCAGTTTTGAGTCAGCGGCGGCAGCGGCGGCTGAGGCTGAGGCTGAGGCTGAGGCTGAGGCTGTACCCTTTTGCTGCGGCCTGTCACCATTGCCGTGGAGCGGCTGCACGGAGGCAGAAATGCCGCTGCTGGACCGGGGCCTGCTCTGGCTAAGCCTGCTCCTGGGCTCCTGCGTTTCTCTTGGGTCAGCGGCTCAGGGCAACAATACCAAAGGTGATGCCTGTGCCCATCCCTGCCCTGATTGTAGGACCCCCTTTTTCCCTTCCAGCTCTCTTCCATTCTTCCCTCACTACATCCATCCTTTCCTTCCTAGCTCCCTTCCTTATAGTGTTCCTTTTTCCTTTCTTCCATCAGTTCATTCTTACACCCATTCTTTCTTCCCTCCCACCCACTGTCCTTTCTTCCCTCCATCCACATTTCCCTCCCTCCCTAAATCCATCTTTCCTTTCCTCTATACTTCCCTCCCTCTTTCTCCTGGATCTCTTCCTCTTTCCCTCCCTCATCCAGGCCTGAGGTTATGGCCAAAGCCTCACCCTGCCACCTAAGACTGGGGTTTCTTCTGTTTACCCTCTCCCACCATCCCTGGCTTGGTTAGCGGGGTTGTCAGAGTTGTCAGGGTGGAGGGTACAGCCTTGGCTCTTTCAGTACCCTAGCACCTACCATGAGTGGGAGGTTCAGTGTAAGTGCAGGTCATCTCATTGAAGCCCCACCCTCCCATGCAGATACTCTGAATGTCCTTCTAATCATTGTGGATGACCTGCGCCTCTCCTTGGGCTGTTATGGGGACAAGCTCATAAAGTCCCCAAACATCGACCAACTGGCATCCCACAGTCTCCTCTTCCAAAATGCCTTTGCCCAGGTATGTCTGGGGTTCTTTAGGTGTGGATGTGTGTCCTGTACGCTGAGGGGTGGGGGCTTGCCTCAGCAGTTGTTAGATGGCACTGATTGTGCCAAGCATCTCTATCAGAGAGAAGTGTCATCTGGAAAATGACATTGATATAACCTGGTTGTCCACTGACAAAGAAGACGGTGTTTTCAAGAGGTCCTCTCCTTAGGGTGGTCCTGACCAGCATCATTCCCCAAAGAATAGGTTGCCTGGGGCTGAGCAGGAAGGAGTGCTGTAGAATGTCACCCTCAGACCTGCCAACTATCCTTGAGCAAGTGCCAGGCAGCTTGCCATGGCATCACTCCTTCCTGAACCCCTTCATGGGGCGACACCCAGGACCATTGCCCATTCTGCGCACCTGTGAGACACAACTGTGTTGAAGGAGGACAAAATCATCTGCTGGTTTGAAGAGCTGAGTTCTTCCTCCCTCTTTCCTGGGAGACATTTCTGGTGACTGGGTAAGACCCAAATCCCACTGTTTGACTTTCAGATCTGCAAGATTCAGCCAAGCTGTTTGCTACGGACTCTGGAGGTTCCCTGGTTACAATTTAGCTCCCAGACTATTTTTCTCTGATAGTGTTTCTCTCTGCTTCTTCTCCCTAACAGCAAGCAGTGTGTGCCCCAAGCCGAGTGTCGTTCCTCACCGGGAGGAGACCTGACACCACGCGCCTATATGACTTCAACTCCTACTGGAGAGTACAGGCTGGAAACTTCTCCACCATCCCCCAGTACTTCAAGGAGAATGGCTATGTGACTATGTCCGTTGGAAAAGTCTTTCACCCTGGTACTGCTTGCTGTCCAAAGTCCGAGTTCTTCTTGTTTCTTGCCGAAGCACAGGGGATCCTGTACTGGGGCTGGGGCTATCTTTGAAGGGCTTCTTGGGACTGGGTAGACGCCTTATTATTCATTGCTTACTTTTTGCAAAATCTTAACTTCTCAACTTGGCTTCATGTTCTCACCCAAAGTAAAAAGGGGTAGAAGGAGGTTTTTTTTTCTCCATTCATAAATTAGTCATAGTACTGTTTGTTTCTGTCAGCTCATGGTATAGAAGGGACTGAACAGGTTAGGGAGGTGACAGTGTTCGGTGAGGTTCTAGCTCTATGCCTCTGTCCCCTAGGGTCCCTGTTAGTAAAGTTGGGAATTTAAGGGTTAGAACATCTGAGGATGTCCCACTTGGCCAGCTGTTGTTGCTGTATTTCCCAAGAAAGGGGTTGCTGCTTAAGGTCTGTGAATTAGGTCAGTAAGAGCAGTGTAAGCTCATATCTAGGACCTATAGGATGCCAGGGGCTGTCAGTTTTGACTTTCAACACCCCCTGATGAACTGACTTTCTTTAATGCCAAAGTGAGAATGATGAAGCACAGACTAACTCTAAGACTTCTTTTTAACTTACAGAAGAGTTGCATGATTACTTGACAAAAAGTTGGTAAAAAGGGAAAGTATAAATGAAATGTAAATTACTTGTAATCACAGCACCCTGCTGGGAGCTGTATTCGATTTCCACCATCTTCTGGGCACACCATTATTCTTATTGGAGATATTTCTGTGCATATAATTTTGTGTTGTGATTTTTTTAAACAAAATTTTCTCCTTTAGTTACTCTCAATTACAAAGTTTATTTTTTAAATGACAGTACAGTAGTCTAATATATACATGTACTGTACTTTAGTCCAAGTTGTTTTCAAGTCTTTGCTGTCATGCATTCAGCTGGAATGAATATCTCTGGGGGCAGAGTGAACTGTTGATGGTAGTGCCACCAGGAATTTGGGCCCCTGGCTTCCAGTCCCAGCTTTGCCACTTCTTAGCTGTGTAGTTGACCTTGAGCAAATCATTTACCCTCTGAGTCTCAGATTCCTTCTCTGGGAAGCTGGGGTCATAGCTGCCTTGATTACCTTCCAGGGGAGCACCCCAGTGCTGGTAGTCCAAGAGTGTGAAAGTACATTGAAAACCCAAGCTCTGTATGGACCACATTGCTTATCATTAGGGGCTATGATTTGAACATTTTCAGTAGCTTTCTTTTTGCTCACTGCTTATGTTGGCAGGATCAGCAGCCTTCTTCTGGAACCCAGCTGACCAGTCTAGGTTGAAAGTAACTTATGGTTGGATTAACTTGGGCCCACTTTTGAAGGTGAATCTGTCAAGAATCATGTTGTGCAATCAAAAACCAAGCATTAAGAGAACTTTCTATAGTCAATACTCATATTATAATAACCCTTGTCTCAGTGTAGCTGGAGAAAAAGACAATTTTGGGGAGAGGAAGAAATCCAGCAGGAGGGTGATCATGTTTCAAGAAGGTAGGCCAGACAAGGCCTGAATGGTATTGTTTGGCCTCCCATAGGATGGTTAGATTTTGGGATCGGGCTATAAGTACTGTGTGTTAGCCATAGAACAAAAGCTTTGCCTGTAGTCCTTGTGGAAACATATTTTTCAATTGGGTCCTTGTTCTGTCAGAAAAGAACCTGTCCAGGATGACAACAGCTACCATTGATTGAATGTTAGGTATGTGCCACTTATTGTGCTGGCTTCTCCTTTAATCCTCTCAACACAATGCAAGGTAGATTTTTATCATAGTCATCGTTTCCTGAGGAGGAAATTGAGGCTCACAGAGGTCAAGTGTCTTGCCCAAGATTGCACAAATACTAAGGGGCAGTGCTGGGATTTGAATCCAAGTCTGTCAGTGGCCTGTGCTCTATCTGCTGGCCTTATTGTGCTGAAGAGCCTTCTATCCACTGTCCCCCAATGTGTCACTGCTGGTAATCCTCTTTCTCCCCTAGTTCTGACTGTACAACACTCTCTGCTTCTCCTGGCTTATCCCATAGGTAGAACTTCCCTTCATGCCCCTTGCAAGCCTTGCTTACTCATTGCCAACTATCACTGGACCCACATCACTTCTGTGTCTTGGGCTTCCTACACTTAACACAGCACCTCTGCTCCCTACATAGCTGGCAGCCCCTCCTTGGTTTCACACCTTGTTATTTTGTCTTCCCAAATAGGATGTTAACTATTGAGCTTAGGAGTGGGTTTATGCTTCATGAATGAGCACTGAACCTGGGGTTCTAAGGCATGGATTGAAGTCCAGGCTCATTCAGCTTGGCATTGGCAGCTTGGCAGCTTGGCATATATCTGGTTGGCATTGGGTAGGGCCCCGACCTTCTCTGACCCTCTCCTTCCCCAGTTGCCCATGTCGGTGCCAATGCCTCTGCTGTCTCCTTCATATGGCAGGGTTCTGCGGGGCTGTGTTGCTCTAGCAGGCTGGCTTATCTCAATCACTCACCCTTTTAGGTTTCTTCCTCAGAGCCTAGCATGAACTGCCAGGGCTTAAAAGAGTGGGAGGTCAGATGCTTAATACTAAAATAGAAACCTAGAGAGAGATGACTTTAATGGGGCTTCTTATCATATGGCCTAAGCTCTTGATTTTATAGATAAAAAAACTGAGGCCCAAAGAGGGGAGATGATTCTTCCCCAATTATTTATAAAGTTTTAACTTTGGGTGGGGAGGGCATTGAAAGATGGTCCATAGTTTATTTAATGACTTTCTTCTTTTCCCCCTCAAGGAATATCTTCTAATCATAGTGATGATTCTCCATATAGCTGGTCTGTTCCACCTTATCATCCCTCCTCTGAAAAGTATGAAAATACTAAGGTAAGGATATGAAAGGGATACAGTTCTCAAGAGGAACTGCTTTTCCCCTGTATAATAATTTAAGTTGAACTATCATGTATACTATACCTTCTTCCAAGCCAGTTATCCATTGAGGTTTGTGGGTTTTGTTGGTGATCATGACTTGGCAGACGAGTGTTGTGATCTTTGGCATTAGGTCCAATGGAAAGGTGGCTTTGTTTTAGAATCTGGTGGGCATGTCTTGTTCTAGAACCTTATGTTCCAGTGTCTAAAACTCATTTAATAGTTCCTTAGTGCTCATTCTGGATAAGACTTGGTGATGAGGGTTGTAGGAGATGCAGAGACATGGAAATGAGAAGAGATACCTGTGCTCCAGGAACCTCAACCCAGGTCCTAAGAAAGGCATACCATCTGTCTGTCGGTGTTGGGCCTAATGGCTATGTTCAGGTGCTTTGTTAGGGATTTTACAATTTTAGGGCATTATGAAAAAAAAAGGAATATACAAAGAACCTTAAAATTAATCTTGGCATCCCCAATGTATAAATGAAACTAAAGCCCATAATTTAAGACATTCAGAAAACCAGCTGCAGGAATGAGAAATGACATGATCCTTGGAGGTTTTTAGAGATATTATGTGGAGAAGGCTATAGACTTGTGGGGGATGGTGTGGTGCAGAGGAGTATTATAAATTCTTGACAACTTTCTATTGCAAAATGCAGAAAGCTAAGGGCTCTGACCTTTGACTTGTGACTTGAATATTAATAGAATGAGATTAGAAGACCCCATCTCAATCCCTGTATTCCCATCTTGCTACTTTCTAGTGACTTCTCAAATGCCAGACTACTGTTTCCCACCCTGCACATTTGTTCTCAAAATGGTGATCTGACTATACAAAATCCCCCATGAATGCTGTGGGTCATATAGAGGGGAGCAGATACTGGGAGTCAGGTACTGGGCTGTCCATTCCTGGGGCAGGGTGAACAAGGTAGCCTGTGGAAGGACATTATTCTTTGAGATGGAGCAGTAGTTGCTACTGCCTCTGGGTCTTTGTGAGGTAGAAATCATAGTCAAAACTGACTTTGGCCTTTGGCCACCATGGCCACTTTGGGAAATAAAGCAGTAGATTCCATTCTGTGCATGATGCGGTTGAAGATTTTGGAATTTCATGGACTGTCACCTTATATAGTTGACTGAGACCCTGTCACTTACAAGCCTTAATCTTTCTTTGAAATTGAAGACAGATTTTTTCTTTTGTTAAAAATTTTTGAGATATAATTTATATACCATAAAAATTACACTTTAGAGTGTACAATTCAATGATTTTTAGTATAATCACAGACTTGTGGAACTGTTATTAAAATCAGTGTAAGACCATTTTCATTATCCTCCAAAATAGCCTTGTATCCATTATTATTCACTCCCAATTTCCTCTCAACCCCCAGCATGTGGTAACAACTGATCTGCTTTCTTTCTCTTTGGATTTTCCTATTCTGGATATTTTGTATAAATGGAATCATATAGTATATGGCCTTTTGTGTCTGGCATCTTTCACTTAGCATAATGTTTTTGAGGTTCATGTCATAGCATAGATTAGAACTTCATTACTGTTTATAGCCAAATAGTATTCCACTGTATGGTTGAATACATTTTATTTATCCATTCATCAGTTAATGGACATTTGTGTTGTTTCCACTTTTTGGCTGCTGTGAATAAAGCTGCTATAACATTCATGCACAGACTTTTCTATGGACTTAAGTTTTCAGTTCTCTTGGGAAGAATTGCTGGGTCAAGTGTTCATATGGACTTAGGATTTTACTTTTTGGTATACACCTAGGAGCAGAATTGCTGAGTTATATAATAACGCTATATGTAACTGTTTAAAGAACTGCCAGAGTGTTTTTCAAAGCAGCTGCATCATTTTACATGCCAACCAACAATGTATGAGGATTCCAATTTCTCCACATCCTTGGCAACACTTGTTATTTTACATTTTAAAAAATTACAGCCATCCGCCCTCATTGGTGTGGCTCATTGGATTGAGCACTGGCCTGCAAACCAAAGGGTCGCCAGTTTGATTCCCAGTCAGGGCATATGCCTTGGTTGTGGGCCAGTTCCCCAATAGGAGGCGTGAAAGAGGCAACCACACATTGATGTTTCTCTTCTTCTCTTTCTCCCTCCCTTCCCCTTTCTAAAAATAAATAAATAAAATCTTTAAAAAAATTATAGCCGTCCTAGTGGGTATGAATGATTATCTTATTGCAGTTTTGATGTCCATTTCCATGGTGACTAAAGATGTTAAGCATCTTTATGTTTGCTTAATGACCATTTGTATGTTTTCTTTGGAGAAATATCTATCTATTGAATTCCTTTTCCTATTTTTTAATTGGCTCATTTTTATTGTTGAGTTGAAGATGGATTTTTTCTTTATTAGTTTGCTTGGGTTTCTTTTAATTATGACCTAGAGACAGAAGTTTATAGCAAGGAGGTAAGTGCTGGTCGATTTCTGGCTCCTCCCTGGAAAAGAAGAAACACTTCTCTGTTTTAGTTGTTACTTGCTGTGTGCCTATCCAAAATAACTAATACTTAATGGGCTGCTGGTATGAATGTTAAATACATTGTGTGTGTAACATTCATGACTTCTATTTATTGCATTTAAAAAGCTGACATTTTATGTTTTTTTTCGAAAGACATGCAGAGGGCCAGATGGAGAACTCCACGCCAACCTGATTTGTCCTGTGGATATGGCAGATATACCCGAGGGTACCTTGCCTGACAAACAGAGCACCGAGCAAGCCATACAATTGTTGGAAAAAATGAAAACATCTGCCAGTCCTTTCTTCCTGGCTGTTGGGTATCACAAGCCACACATACCCTTCAGATACCCCAAGGTGAAAAGCTGGCTGAGGGATGATCCAATACAGCTATGACATCTGTGTCATTTGTTAAAGGGAGGGGTATTTCTGTAGTCAGGGTGACCACATTCTGCTGTCGCTGATCATCAGAGATGCCTGATGATAACTAGTATACTCCATAGTGTGAGGATGGTGTTCAGAGGTCAAGGCTAAGTAGTAGACTTAGGACATATAAAAATCTTATTAGAAATGCTCGGCTTTCTAATTTCCCTCACTGGGAGATTTTATTTTCTTTCCTTGAACTCAGTAAATGCTGGATTGGTTGGTGAGATCATCACAGAGAAGTGAATCAGAGCTGCCAAAGCCTGCAATAGGGGATGGTCCATGGGACACAGTTCCAGGGAATATGGATCCTTCTTCAGTAACTGACTTTCCTATAGAGCATCTTGGGTCAGACCCCTTACACACAGGGCACTGCATTTCTAGTTGGAAACTCAAATCCTATGCTTACATGTATATCATTAAGAGATTATAACTCACCCTTTTTCCCCCAGTTTTTCCCTATCATGTTTTTCCTGGGCTTGAGTAGCCCATTCTTTTGACTTTGAAAAGAATATCCCTTAGTTGTGATGAAAGTTGAGACCAGAAGACATGTTCTTTGATGCTGCTGGTATCTTGCTTTGATTGGCCCAGGGGATCTCACTTTCCTAGCAGGAGCTGTCAGCCCCTTGATGAAGTGAGTCTCACTTCTGTTGTGCAAAAAAGAGGTTGCACAAGCTCTTCTTTGAAAGTCCTGTGCATGAGCTTGACCCTTGGCTGGGAACCTGCGTCTCTGGTGTGCTCCTACCATTCCCAGAACTCATGAGTGGCTCACTATACCTAAACTGTTTATGTAAAACCCTGCCTTTCTGCTTGGAGTCTAGAAGTTTTATATGTGAAGGCAAAACAGCCCCAGTTAAAACTCTGGGTGCAAAAGCTTTAATGAGCACCCCTGATAGCAACACTTCATATGTGTTATCACACAACTCATTGCTAGGGGAATTTAAGCACATCCTGTGACTTAACCAGGAGAGGACTCTAGAAGCTTGTGCCTGGTTTTCCCCAGACTTCATTCATGTGGCTTTTTTCTTTACTGAGTATGTTTGGTCTCCTTTTACTGTAACCAGTCATAGCCATGAGTATGACTGTGCTGAGTCCCAGTGAATTACCAAACCTGAGGGTTGTTTGGGGACAGACAACATTTCTCCATAACTATAGGTCGAGATAGGAACAAGAAGGCATGATTTGTATGAGAGAAGAGAGGTGTCACTACTCTGTAGAAAACAAATTGCATTATTTCACTACCATTGACCTCTTGTGGTAGTGACTTAATATCTGACTTTAAGGTAGAGGAAATACCTCAGCAATGTTAGTGAGCCACCATGTAAATGCATCACAGGCTTAGAGAAAAGGTAATATAAATGCCAATAGACTCTGAGCCTTGTACCTTTGCCAAAAGAGTGACAACTTGTTGGCTTTGTGTGCTTTCTCCTAAGGAGTTTCAGAAGTTGTACCCCTTGGAGAACATCACCCTGGCTCCTGATCCCCAGGTCCCTGCTGGCCTCCCTCCTGTGGCCTATAACCCTTGGATGGACATCAGGCTACGGGAGGACGTTCAAGCTTTAAACCTAAGTGTTCCCTATGGCCCAATTCCTGTGGACTTTCAGGTACCAAGGATATATTTTGGGGAAATATTGGGCACTTATGGCATGATGTCACTGGGCATGCCACTTTACTCAATGGATACTACTACATCCATCATGTCTTAGGAAGAAACTTCTCTGTGTAAGATATCTTGCGAAGTGCTGGAGTTAGGGCGGTCTGAAGGCAATTAGGACATGGGAAGTGCTGGATGGATAGAGTCTCCCAGTCAGTGTCTCCACTTCCAAAGAAAAGGGCATAATGAGATTTGGTGACTCTCTGGATGTGGGCACAGGGGTGGGGAAGAGTCCTGGATGTTCCCTACTAACTGATGGAGGATGCTATTTAATCTAAGTGACAGTTCATCAGTTAATGGGTGGTGGGCAACTCCTGCTCAGCCCAGAACACTCAGTTTTCTGGTACTTGCAGTTCCCTTCTGAGGAAATGCCAACACAGGCATATACCACTCTCAGGGGGTAACTTGGTGAGCAGGATCTTGGTGCAGACTGAGCAGGGGCACCAACATAGCCAGTTCTATCCAGCTGCAATGTGAGGTTTCCCTTTGCCATGATATGGGGGTTGAAGCAGACATGGCGTTAAAGTCCTCACATTGACTCATCAGTTACCTTCTCTCTGGATTGAAGAAGACATGCTGACCAGTTACATTTCTGGAATATTCCACATTACCATGTGAATACTCCAGTAGGCAGTCTACAGTAGAAGGAAGAGGGCTGTGCTTTAAAAATGTTATTCCTGGACCACATGCATCAGAATCACCATGAGGGTGAAGTTCAGAGTCCTGACCCCACTCATACTTAGGGAGCTTGAAGCTAGAGGTGGAGACCAAGAACTTGCATTTCTATAAAAAGCACAGGGCTGACACTTACGTACACAAAAGTTTGAGAATCACTGCTGTAGGATATAGTTCACAACAAAACATAATGTACAGGTATCTTTTGCTGCTCACACACAGTTCGTTCCTGAGTTTGGGTGGTGAGGGATGTGTTTTTCACATCTGATTCCAGAGTTTCAGATGGCAGTGGTGAAAGTTTGGAAAGCAGTGGATTCATCAATTTGTTTGGTTCCTAATTTCCATTTGAAGGGATTATGATAGTGAGGTTGCTTGAATTGTAGCTCTGAGGCAGCACTTGACACCTTGTTAGTGATGGTCACCTAAAATGACTCTTTAAAATGGGCTGTATGCCAGGAAGGGTGCTCAACATTTTATGTGTGTTCTTTATTTTGGTCTCCATGGGAACCTAATGAGGTGTTGATTATCTCTGCTATCTAGGTGAGGAAATTAAAGACAGGGAGGTGTGGTGACTTGCCCCAGATCACACAGCTAGTGATAAGTGAGTGTGTAATGTCAAAATCCCATGGTTTATTTTGTTGGTTCCAAACAGTCTGGGTTCAAATTTCTGTTTTACTCCATACCAGCTGCATGACCTCTGTCAAGTCATTTTACCTGTTGGAACGTTAAGTCTCTTATCTGTAAAATAAATACTAGAGGAAGAAAGGTTTTCTCTGAGAACACCTACTTTGGAGGTATTCAGTGGGAACTATAGTGAACATGTGAAAGCATCTAGGACAGTGTCAGCTTCCTGGTGAGGGCTCCTTCAAAGTTTTCTTGTCCTCCATCCATTGGTGGTGTTGCTTGTACACAGAGTTGAAAGCATGACCCAGAGGATCTCCCTGGAATGCTTATGTGCTGGTCCCTGTCCCACATTTACTTGAAATGGGGGCCCTGCTCACTGTCCTCTTGCAGTTTTGGAGGTCTCTGCCCAAACCCCATCTCATTCCTTTCCTGAGAGTCTCAGTCCTGTTCCCTCTTTAGCCTCAAACCTTTTAACTGAGCTTTGTGTGAGCCAGACACCTCAGGGCCACACCTGGGAGTTTGTCATCTCCCAGGTCTGCTTCTCCTTTGTCACCACCTGACCACCATCTCTTTTTTTGCAGCTCCCTTACTCCATGCCCTCATTTGCCACACAGCTCTCTTGGATTGCCAGTATTTGGATTCCTACTCTCCCATAGTAACTAGGTCCTTTTGGACTTCACTATTTCCCTAAATAGCCCATGCCCTGTGGCAGGTCACTTATTTTTCTTCTCAGCGCCTCAGCCCTTGTCTATTTATCCTTATCCTAACTGCAGTACCCTAATCATGGGATAGTTCAGCCACCACCTCTGCTCTCAAGACTGAATCTTGAGGGAATCCATGCAGCCATGAGGCAGAGACACCCATGCCAAGCTTCCAGTCCCAGCAGTCCTGTGCGGTAAAGGCTCAGCTCCCTTCAACCCCTCAGGTCCTTCTGCCCCCCATTCTCCTCTGCCTGGTCTCTCAGTGATTACTGCACTTCCTGTTTCAAAAATGGAGGCTCGTGGACAGTCTGAGAGAGGGGAATGCACAAGACAGATGTGAGTACACATCTAGGCTGTGCTCCTTGCCAGCTCTGTGTCTCTAGGCAAGTTAATCAACTTCTCTGAGCTTCTGAGTTCTCCTGTGTAATATGGGAATAGTAATGCTCACTTAAAGGGTATTTGAGAGGATTAGATGGTACCCAGAAGATGTGTGGAAAATAATGCTATTAATAGACTCCCTCACCAGTAGCCAGAATCGTGTGTACATGTGTGCTGGACTAGCGGCCTTCTCCCTAGTCTTCTAAGAAAAGCAGCAAGGACTTGACTTCTCCCCAACACCTTTCCCCTTTATTCCCACATCTACAAGCAATGTCTCCTCTCCTCATCAGCTTTTACAGCTGCTTTTATCCATTCCATCTTCAAAAGTCCTGCCTCCTTTGCCCTTGCCCGTTAGTTCTCCCTTCCAATTTTTTCACCTGCTCTTCAAGGGATAATGAGTGAAACGTGGTCTGTTTTGGCTGCGTCTGTGCCCTCACTGTCTGTCCATTCTTGATATGCCTCTATGGAGCCTTCTGCCTCTGCAACCCACTAAAGAGTTCTGTCATCTGGGTCAGCACTAACTTTCTTGGCAAATAAAATCTATCTTGTGGATGTGACCTTCCCTGGGTATCTGCTGCTTCCTCACTTGTTGACCAGTGCCACCCTTTCTGGAAATGTCCACATCCTGGTGTACTTCAGTTCCCACGGCAAACCACTTTTCCTGCATCTGCCACTCAGGAGTGCTGCAACCCAAGATCAGCCCCAGGGACTCCACTGTCTCCTTTCTGCCCCTCCTCCCCAGTTAGACTTAGGTGAACCCTGTTGAACTAATCCTCCAGCCCTGGTTTTGCTTCTGATTTTCAGACATGTCTGTCCTTTTGTCTGCAAGAGTCACTGCCCATGGTGACCTCAGGGCCATAGGCCCCAAATGGCCATGCTCTTGCTCTTGCTCTTGCTTTTCTCCCTCCTTTTGTGCCACCCCATGCCACCAAATCATGTCACCAGCTGAATAAGAAACCTAGAGTCACCCTTGGAATCCTCATCTCTTTCCCCCTGTTGCCCCCTCCCCTTCCCCACTCCTATTTGGTTTCCCTAATTCTTCTCAACTCTGTATTTGCCTCTTCTTCACCATGTCTTTCTTGACCACTACATTGGGTCTGGGTGTTATTTGTTTAACAAATATATATTGAGATCTTCTTGTGTGTCCAGCACTAATACAGTGTCATTTTTCCTGAGTTTCTGGAATCTGCTCTGGGCTATTGCCTGAGGACTCATGCTGATCTGCAGCCCTGACCACACTGACTCCTTACCATGAACAGCTTCAGTGCCTTCCTTTGTCTCCAGCATGGGACTTCCATTCCTTGGATGGACCTACCAGGTCTGGATCATTTGGCTCTGACCTGCCTTTTCAGTGTCCTTGCTGTCCTGCTTGGTCCTCTTGTTTCTTTCTCCAGCCACAGCAGTCAGCTCACTGACCACAAACACACTCTGCTCTGGTGACTCTGTCCCATCCTATCCTTTGCAGCTCCTGTTTACAGTATCTTATTCTAAATTGTCTGACTGCCAGTACCCCTTTCAAATGCTTACTCCTCTGTGAAGTCTTTCTTGATTTCCCAAAGCTGACTTGAGGGCTCATTGTCCCATGTCATACCAGTAGTAACATGCATTTTCTAGTTTCCAAGCCATTATCTTCATTGGACAGGTGACTTGTTAAGAGTAAGGACCACGTCTGCTCCTTTCTCTATCTCCAGGGGCCATTATAGGAAGGAGGACATATTCTTGAATAGGACACAGCCATCCTCACAGGTGTCTTTGAGCCCCAAGAGGATTAAAGTTCCTCAAGTTACAGACTGAAGGCCTTTATCTAGTAGAAAGTTGAAGTAGGCTGGAGTTCAGCATAATTCTCCTAGAAGGTTGTTAGATGAATATCTGTCATCTTTACCTCATAGAGAGAATGGATGAGTCTCATGTTTGTTCTCAGCTGGCAGTAAGAAAAGAAGCCAGCTAGTCCAGCTAATAAGATGGTGGAAGCTGTGGCTGCTCTGATATGTCAGTGGCCCCCTTATTTCTCACACTTGTTGGGGAAGGGGGTTCATCTTTTTCTTTAATATTTGTGAACAAGGCTTGGAGGGGAGACATTCCAGAAGGGGCCATGGCTTTTTTACATCAGTGCTTGGCTTGGCTGCTCCTAAAGTTCCCCTTGCTTGGGTTAAGACACCATGGAGGGTGTGCTGCTCTCTCGTCAGCTGTGAATTTGTTAGGAATGAGACTCACATGACAACTGGAATCCATGAGGATAAGCAGTTGCTGTCTTCTGCTGGGTTAGACAGTGGTCAGAGAGAAGGGCCACACACTGATGTTGTTGTAAGTTGAATTGTGTCCCTCAAGAAGACATGTTGAAGTCCTGACCCCCAGTAGCTCAGAATATGGCCTTATTTGGAACTAGGGTTGTTATAGATGTAACAGTTAAGATGAGGTTCTACTGAAGTAGGGTGGGCCCTGATTCAATCTGACTGGTGTCTTTATGAGAAGAGGAGAGAAGGGAAGGACAGAGGCAGAGATTAGAGCACTACAGCTGCAATGCAAGGTATGCCAGGGGCTGCTGTCACCACCAGAAGCTGGGAGAGGCAAGACCCTCCCCTTGAAGTATCAGAGAGGGAATGGCCTGGTGGACACCCTGATTTCAGACTTCTGGCCTCCACAACTAGGAGAGGACACATTTCTGTTGTTTTATGCCCCCTACTCTGTCATCCTTTGTTATAGCAGCAACAGGAATTGGATATAGCTTTATGTTATCTTTCACATGGCTTCAACAGAGGTTAGAGGGACTGATGGATAAGTTTCTGTGTACAGGGTCTTCTTCTGGGACCTATAAAAGTATGTAAAGGAGACAGAAAGGAACAGTAAGTAGCACATCCATCAGCTGTTCCCTAAATGAAAGCTGATCCTCTTAAGAAAGAATCTTACTTATAGGCCTGCAGATTTTACTTTGACTATGGGGAGATGGGATGTAGATAGTAAAGAAATGAACATCCGGTTGTGGCTGAGAGAATCAAGGGCATCAGCAGATGAGTGGTGTTTTGGTGGGATGTTCAGGCGAACACTATGTATGCTACAGCAACTTAAATCACAGTCACTCTCATTATCATTATTTTTAATTTGTAGCGGAAAATACGCCAGAGCTACTTTGCCTCTGTTTCCTACTTGGATACACAGGTTGGCCACCTTTTGAGTGCTTTGGATGATTTTCATCTGGCCAACAGTACTATTGTTGCATTTACCTCAGATCATGGTAAGTGTTCTGAAATGTCCTGGTGAGTCACTCAAAGTCTCTGAACTTTTTTTGTGAAATGTGCTTTTCTAGATTGCCTTAAACATAGGCATGTTCTTTTTTGGGACTCAGTAGTGCCTTGAGTGTGGGGTCTTGGGGGGAATTTATGCTCTCCTTCTTAGTCCTAGGATCTCTCTTCATGTCTCTGTGGGTCAGAGAAGAACTTTTCCACCTTTGTCTACCTTCATAGAACATGCCTCACTCCCTCAGGCAATCCCCACACCATTGTTCATGTCCATGGGTTGTGCATATAAGTTCTTTGGCTGCTCCATTCCCTATACTGTACTTTACATTCCCATGGCTATTCTGTAACTACCTATTCGTACCTTCTTAATCCCCTTACCTTTTCATCCATTCCCCCACACCCATTTTGGGTTCACAACTCTCATCTCTCCTAAGGCAGTTTCCAACTTTTTTTACAAGTGGAAATATTTTTTAAATTATTTTTAATTTGAAAAATTTTAAACATGTCTAAGAGAAGAAGATAAACAACTTCCTGGTCTCTATCTTCCTGGCCCCATATATCTATTCATGGAAGTCTTGTTTATTTCATCCTCCTCCACACCCCTACTCCCAAATTGTTTTGAAGCAAATTTAAGGTCATTCATTTTTCTGAACAGTATCATACCATTATCATACCTAGCACTGGGAAGACAATTGTGTAATATCATATAATGTAAAACACAACAATATTAGAACATAACATATACTCATTGTAAAAACAAAAGAGGGATATGGAGTGTAATATATAGGGCCAGGGCGCTCTGACCTTTTTTTATTCCTCCTGCCCAGAGCTAACTGGCACTGATGGATTATGGGGTATCTGCCATCCTTTATGCATATGCCTGTGGCCGTGGGTTATGTGTGTGTATGTACATAATATACTAGTAATGAACAAGGTAGGGTTGATTGTGCTATGTGTACTGTTTTGTTCCCTGGTTTGTTTTTTATGACTTAACAATATCATAGACAGTTTTCTGTGTCATTTCTTACAGACATACCTTATGTCTTGTAAAGGCCTGTTTTTATTATTTATGGAAGTATCATAATTTTCACTGTTTACCTAGTGACCTGCCATCCACTTCTGACTTCTCTCTCAGTGCCCAGTTTTTTCTTATAGTGCTAAAACAGCCTACTGCACCCCATGAGGATAAGGCCCACTTGTAAGCTCTCTTTGCTTGGCAGCTGCTGTTGATTACAAATGGCTCTTCTCAAAGAGCTCTCCCTGGATTTCCTACATCTGGGCTCTAAAACCTTCTCAAATCTATACATAGCAGATTTTTGTGGCTTTGTTGTTTTGTAACACAAAATACTTAATGTATGATTTTTATCTTTTATATTCTTTTATATCAAAAAGAGTACTCAGACTTAAAAAGATTGGAAATTTCCAACTTGGGGATTTCAAATTATCTTTTGCAAGGCATGTTTTTAATCAGGGTTAAGTGTAGTTTTTAATCAAGGTTAAGGATTTGGAATCAAAAGTTATATTTTTTAGGTCTGTGGTATGTCTTAAAAGTTGGACAAACTGCCTTTGCCTTTTTAAAAAAAATTAAGTGATTGTGCCACAGTTTTACAGCTTATTTCTTCGTGGTACACCCTCCGAAAAAAGTGAAGACTAGAGTTATGAAACTTGAGTCCAGATAGATAGGCACAGGATAAGGCAGTGGTGACACTAAAGTTATTGGGATCCTTGTCCAGTCAAGAACAAGCCAAGCTAAGCAGGGGAAGTGGGTGTGGGGGTTGGGGAGAACAGTGGTCCCTTGGAACCCTACCTAAATGTATATTGCTAGTTGTTTCCTAAAAGAAGATATTTTAGTTTGGGAATTTAATATTTTTTCCTATTAAATGTTTCCTCATTCAAGATAAGTGTCTAACTTCAAATAAAGTAATATTCAGGTGAAATCACCAATTTGTGCTAATTGTGGAGGAAAATTTCTTGTTGGTGAAGAGTTTTTGCTTCCTCTGAGTTTTAATAACAAGAATTAAAATGATATCTAAAATGAGTAAGCTGTAATGTGATTATTTTATTTTCTGTCATTCCATGCTTCTTTTGAACCAGGATGGTCTCTAGGTGAACATGGACAATGGGCCAAATACAGTAATTTTGATGTCGCTACTCATGTGCCCCTGATGTTCTATGCTCCCGGAAGGACAGCTCTGCTTCCAGAGGCAGGCAAGAAGCTTTTCCCTTACATCGACCCTTTTGATCCTGCCTCAGAATTGATGGAGCCAGGTATACAGTATGCTAAAGTGATATTGCTTGACAGTAATAGCTTCTTTAGTTTATACAAATCACTTAACCAAATCATAGCCTAGAGGCTTACCCAGTCCACCTTCCTGCCCAATGTTGGTAGTCATATACACATTTCTTGGGTACTGTCTTTTTCTTTATTTTTTAAGCATTTTTTATTTAATTATTGTTCAAGTACAGTTTTCTGTCTTTTACTCCCATCCCAGCCCACGCCCCCCCCAGTGCTCCCCACCTCCCTCCCATTTCCACCCCCCTTAGTTTTTGTCCATGTGTCCTTTATACTTGTTCCTGTGAATCCTTCCCCTTTTCCCCTGAAATTCTCTCCCCTCTGGTCCCTGTCTGCCTGTTCTGTATTTCAGTGTCTTTGGTTATATTCTGCTTGCTTGTTTGTTTTGTTGCTTAGATTCCTGTTAAAAGTGAGATCATATGGTATTTGTCTTTTACCGCCTGGCTTATTTCACTCAGCATAATGCTTTCCAGTTCCATCCATGCTATTGCAAAGGGTAGTAGCTCCTTCTTTCTTTTTTACTGCATAGAATTCCACTGTGTAAATGTACCATAGTTTTTTTGATCCATTCATTTACTGATGGGCACCTAGGTTGCTTCCAACTCTTGGCTATTGTAAATTGTGCTGCTATGAACATTGAGGTGCATAGGTTCTTTTGGATTGGTGTTTCAGGGCTCTTAGGATATAATCCCAGCAGTGGAATTACTGGCTCAACAGGCAGTTCCATTTTGAGTTTTCTTAGAAAATTACATACTGTTTTCCCTAATGGTTGTACCAGTCTGCAGTCCCACCAACAGTGAACTAGTGTCCCCTTTTCCCCACAACCTCTCCAACATTTGTTGTTTGTTGCTTTCTTTATGATGGCCATTATGACCAGTGTAAAGTGCTATCTCATTGTGGTTTTAATTTGCATCTCTCTGATAGCTAGCAGTATTGAGCATCTTTTCATGTGCCTCTGGATCCTCTGTATGTCCTCCTTGGAGAAGTGTCTGTTCAAGTCCTTTTCCCATTTTTTAATTGGGTGGCTTATCATCTTAGAGTGGAGTCATGTGAATTCTTTGTATTTTTGGAGATTAAACCTTTGTCTGAGGTATCATTGGCAAATACGTTTTTCTGTACAGTTGGTTCTCTTTTTATCTTAATACTGTTTTCTTTAGCCATGCAGAAACTTTTTATTTTGATGAGATCCCATTTGTTTATTCTTTCCTTTATGTCCCTTACTCTAGGGGACATATCAGTAAAAACATTGCTGCGTGAAATATCCGAGATTTTCCTGCCAATGTTCTCCTCTAGGATTTTAACGGTGTCATGAAGGCATTTTTGTATACTAACAATGAAACAGCAGAAGCAGAAATCAAGAAAAGAATCTCATTCGATATAGCAAAAAGAAAAATAAAATATCTGTGAATAAACCTAACCAAGGAGGTAAAAGACCTGTATGCAGAAAACTACACAACACTGAAGGAAGAAATCAAGGAAGACACAAACAAATGGAAATATATACTGTGTTCATGGATTGGAAGAATTATCATCATCAAAATGTCCATACTACCCAAAGCAATTTACAGATTCAATGGAATATCTATTAAAGTACCAGTGGCATATTTCACAGACATAGAACAAACACTTCAAAAATTTATATGGAACCATAAGCGACCCTGAAAAGCGCTGCAATTTTGAGAAAGAAGAACAAAGTTGGAGGGATCACAATACCTGATACCAAACTGTATTACAAGGCCACTGTAATCAAAACAGCCTGGTACTGGCATAAAAATAGGCACATAGATCAATGGAACAGAACAGAGAGTCCAGAAATAAACCCAAGTCTCTATGGGCAATTAATATTCAACAAAGGGAGCAGTAACATAAAATGGAATAAAAATAGCCTCTTCAACAAATGGTGTTGGGAGAACTGGACAGCTACGTGCAAAAAAAATGAAACTTGAGCATCAGCTTATACCATACACCAAAATAAATTCAAGACGGATAAAAGACTTATTAATATAAGTCTTGGGTACTTTCCATGCTTTGGGTCAGGGAGGAGTAGCAGCACTAGAGCTGACAATTATGGCCCCTGTTCTCGAGCCATGGATTGCAGGGATGGTTGGAGACAAAGGAGTACGAGGCATTCCCAGGATTGAGAAGGCTCTCAAACAGGAGACAGACAACAACAGCCTACTCCAGAGCTCATATGAAGCAGGTAGCAGACTCAACCAGGGCAGGGGCTCTCCCTACCAACCCCCAGCAATGAGTAGAAGTCTATTACCTACATACTTTTGGCAGGGATTTGGCCCTTTGTGAGAGAGACAGACATTTGTGATGTCTGATGAGAGTCAGCTCATCATTCTAGTGAACCACTAGATCTGTAACATTACCAGGTAATTCTCCTTCTGCCCTCTCTACAGTGGAGGTGAAGTTAACTTTGACTTCCAGCTTCCAGTCCTTCCAAGTTTTGAAAACAACATAATATTCTCTTCTCTAGGCCAAAACCCTTAATCCTTTAGCTGTTCCTTTAGCTGTTCTTCTCAAGATAGTGTGATACCCATGGTTATCCTGTTTTCTGTCTTCCAAAATGTTCCAGATGGGAAGGCACTTTCAGAAATGTTCTTTGGGCATGTTCCCCTCCCAGCTGTATAGGTGGCCCAATGGTTTTGTTGTTAGTTTTTTCCTGACTTGATCCGCTCAGTGCAGAAATGCTCAGATCACTTTAGACATTTTTCAATATCTAGGGCTTTTTTCCTATGAAGTTTGCTAAAGCAGGTCGCCCCCTTTCTGGAGTTCTGCATTTAATCCATCTTTAACATCTACATTATGTACTTTATGTTGATTCCTATTTAAAATTTTCCTGGTTTCGGACCATCGTTCTGGCTTTCTGGATCTTTCCAAGTTTGCTTTCTACTGCCCAATTTCATTTTCTGTACATTTAATTTTTATGTACTCTATGCTCTGTCTTATTTCATGTCATTGATAAAAAGTGTTAAAAGTTTAAAGGCATGATTATAGTCCTTTGTTTATTTGTAGAAGTCTTCTGAGAAGTTGAGAATCTTCTTTGAAACTTTTGTTCAGAACTGTTTGGCCACTCATAAATTCATAAATTCATACACTGTCATCCAGTTTATTCCCAAATTTCTCTCTATATCTCTTCTCTAAACTTGAAACTTGGGTTTCCAGCTGCCTGTCTACCTAGACAGTCTTACATGCCTAAAGCCAAACTTCTGACCTTTCACCTCAAGCCTTTCCTTTAATAGTCTCCCTCTTCTCAGGAAATTGTAGTAGTCTTTCAGGCCAAAAATTTTGGAGTCATTTGTACCCATCTTTCTCTTATATTCCATATGCGATATTCATTGCATCAATAAGCCTGTCACTCTCCATTCAGAATCTGTTGATAATATTTCTCACCACTTCACTGCTGCCACTGTGGATCACAGTGCCACTGTTTCTTGCTGGATTACTACAATAGCTTGCAAAGGTCTCCTAAGTGTGCCCTTGATCCCCTAGAGTTTTTCTTCCTCACAGTAGCCAAAGTAATCATTGAAAAATCCAAGTCATAGGGGAAAAATGGGGAGGGATTTTGAGGAACAAGTATGAAAGACACAGGGATGAGGACTGGGGGGTGGAAATGGGAGGGAGGTGGGGAGACGGGGAGGGGGGGCTGGGATGGGAGAAATAGACAAAAAATGTACTTGAAAAATAACTAAATAAAAATTTAAAAAAATAAAATAAAATGAAAAGATAAAAATCCAAGTCATGGCCCTGGCTGGTGTAGCTCAGTGGATTGAGCGCAGGCCTGCGAACCAGACAATCGCGGTTCGATTCCCAGTCAGGGTACATACCAGGGTTGCAGGCCGATTCCCTGCAGGCCAGTTCCCAGCAGGGGAAGCATGAAAGGCAACCATACATTGATGTTTCTCTCCCTCTCTCCATCCCTTCCCCTCTAAAGATAAATAAGTAAAAAAAAAAAAAAAAACTAGAAAAAAAATCCAAGTCATGTTGCGTTAGAGCCCTGCTCTGGAGCCTCCTATACTCCCCCGTCTTATTCTGAGTAAAGGTCCTTACCATGGCCAACGAGACCTGATGAGATCTGGGTCCTCATTATTCTTTTTTTTAAAAAAAATATTGTTTATTCTATTACAGTTGTCCAATTTTTTCCCGTTATCCCTCTACTTCCCAGCCTATACCCGCAATACCTACTACAGTCAATCTCTACACAATTGTCCATGTCATGGGTCATTCATACAAGTTTTTTGACTAATTCTTTCCCCTTCTTTTCACCATTCCCCCTTTACCCTCTTTCCTCCAGCAACTGTCAGTATCTTCCATGTTTCTATGTCTCTGGGTCTGTCTTGCTCATTAATTTATTGTGTTGACTAAATTCCTTTTAGAAGTGAGATCACGTGGTATTTGTCTTTCACCGATTAGCTTATTTCACTCAGCACAATAGTCTCCAGTTTCATCCATGCTGTCACACAGGGTAGGAATTCCTTCTTTTTCAAAATATATTTTATTAATTATGCTGTTATAATTGTCCCATTTCTTTTCCCCCTAATTCCCCTCTGTCCTGCAGCCCCTCTCCCACCAGCATTCCTGCCTTAGCTCATGTCCATGGGTCATACATATAAGTTCTTTGGCTTCTCAATTTCCTACACTATTCTTAACCTCCCCCTGTTTGTTTTTTTTTGCCTACCATTTATGCTTCTTATTCCCTCTGCCTTTTCTCACATTCTCCTCACCCCTCCTCCCCACTGATAGGCCTCCATGTGATCTCCATTTCTCTGTTTCTGTTCTAGTTGTTTGCTTAGTTTATTATCGTTTTTGTTTTATTTAGCTTCAATTGTTGATACTTGTGAGTTTGTTGTCATTTTACTGTTCATAGTTTTGATCATCTTTTTCTTAGATAAGTCCCTTTAACATTTCATATAATAAGGGGTTGGTGATGGTGAACTCCTTTAACTTGACCTTATCTGGGAAACACTTTTTCTGCCCTTACATTCTAAATGATAGCTTTGCTTGATAAAGTGATCTTGGATGTAGGTCTTTGCCTTTCATGACTTTAAATACTCCTTCCCAGCCCCTTCTTGCCTGTAAGGTTTCATTTGAGAAATCAGCTGATAAGTCTTATGGGTACTCCTTGATAGGAAACTGTCTCCTTTTCTCTTGATGCTTTTAAGATACTCTCCTTATCTTTAATCTTTGGTAATGTAATTATGATGTGCCTTGGTATGTGCTTCCTTGGGTTCAAATTCTTTGGGACTCTCAGCTTCCTGAACTTCCTGGAAGTCTATTTCCTTTGCCAGATTGGGGAAGTTCTTCTTCATTATGTTTTCAAGTAAGTTTTCAATTTCTTGCTTTTCCTCTTCTTCTGGCACTTCTATGATTCAGATGTTAGAATGTTTAAAGTAGTCATGGAGGTTCCTATGCTTCTCCTCATTTTTTTGAATTCTCGTTTCTTCATTGTGTTTCAGTTGAATGTTTCTTTCTTCCTTCTGCTCCAAATCATTGATTTGAGTCCCAGTTTCCTTCTCTTCACTGTTGGTTTTCTCTACGGGTTGCTTTATTTCATTTTGCACAGTCTTCACTTCTTCCTCTATTTTGTACCCATATTCAACCACTTTTGTTAGCATTCTGATTACCAGTGTTTCAAACTCTGCATCTGATAGGTTACCTATCTCTTCACCACTTAGTTCTGTTTTTGGAGTTTTGAACTTTTTTTTTTCATTTGGGCCATATTTCTGTGTATCAGCACATCTGTTACATTCTAATGGGTGAGCCTTTGGTATTCACCAGGGCAGGGCAAACCACATAGGTGTGTTGTGGCACTGTATGTGGGGGAGAGGTCCTAGAGGGAAGAATGTTGCGTGCTCAACTGAGCTGGTTTTCAGTCACTTCCCTGGTGTCCCACAAAGAAATTGGGCCCTTCTAGTGCTGATTCCTGAGTGGGTGCTTTTGTGTCTGTTCTAGGACCCTGTGGATCTCTCCAACAAACTCTGCTTTGAGGCTAGGAGTTTCTCCTGCCACCATAATTCCCACATGTTTTTACAGCCCGAGATTTTTAAGCTTTATTTCCCTGTGCTGGAACCCTGGGTTGCATGGTCTGTCTTGATTCCCAGTTGTTTCCCCCAGTTTACCCACACGTGAATATGTGACTGCCTAATCTGCCAACCACCTCACTCACCTGCAACTCACCTTCTCACCAGCTTTCCCTGAACTGCTTTGCCACACATTCTCTGTCCCAACTGCCCATTTCCATCCCTCCTACCAGTCTGAATGGATATTTCTTCTTTAACTTTCTGATTGTCGGACTTTGATGCAGTTGGACTTTCTGGCAGTTCTGGTTATTTTTGTTTTTCATTTGTTGCTCTCCTTCTTTTAGTTGTGTGAGAAGGCAAAATGTATGTATCTATGCCTCCCTCTTGGCCAGAAGTCCTCCTTCTCTCTTTCTGCTGCATACTATAGCACTGTGTAAATGTATCATAGTTTTCAATGCATTCTTTTACTGATGGGCACCTAGGCTGTTTCCAGCATTGGCTATTGTTTATAGTGCTGCAATGAACATGGGGGTGCATAAGTTCTTTTCAATTGTTGTTTCAGGATTCTTCGGGTATGTTCCCAGCAATAGAATCATTGGGTCAAAAGGCAGTTCCATTTTTAATTTTCTGAGGAAATACCACACTGTTTCCCACAGTGGTTACACCAGTCTGCATTCCCAACAACAGTACACTATGGTTCCATTCTCTGTACATCCTCACCAGCAGTGTCAATTGTTGATTTATTAATGATAGCCATTCTGACAGGCATGAGTTCATATCTCACTGTGACTTTAATCTGCATCTCTCTAATGGCTAGTGATGTTGAGCATGATTTTATATGTCTATGGGCCCTCTGTATGTCCTCCACGGAGAAGTGTCTATTCAGATCCTTTGCCAGTTTTTAATTGGATTGTTTGTCTTCCTGGATTTGAGTCATTTCAGTTCCTTATATATTTTGGAGATTCAACCCTATAGATGTATCATTGGCAAATATGTTCTGCCATACAATGGATTCCCATTTTATTTTGATGACGGTTTTTTGGCCATGTAGAAGTTTTATAATTTTATGTAGGCCCATTTATTTATTTTTTTCTTTATTTCTCTTGCTGTAGGAGATACATTGGCAAAAATATTCCTTTGTGGCATATCTGAACTTTTACCACCTATGGTACAACTAGGAGTGTTATGGTATTATGACATACATTTAAGTCTTTTATCCATTTTGAATTTATTCTGGTGTATTGTAAAATGTACCAGAATAGTGTGATTTAATTTTTTTTGGTATGATCAGACCACTTCACCTAGCATCATTTATTGTAGAGACTATTTTTACTCCTTACTATGCTCATGGCCCTTTGTCAAATATTAATTGACCATAGAAACATAGGTTTATTTCTGGACTCTGTTTTCTTTTCCATTGATCTATATGTATGTTCTTATGCCAGTATCAGGCTATTTAAAAAAAATATTTTACTGTACTTCAATTACACTTGTCTGTGTTTACTCCCTACCACTCCCCCCACAACTCCAGCCAAACCCTCCTCCATCCCTTGCTTCCACCCCCCCTTGGTTTTGTCCATGTGTCCTTTATAGTTGTTCTTCAAAACCCTTCCCACCTTTCCCCCATTATCCCCTGCCACCTCCCCTCTGTTTACTGTCAGTTCTTAATTTTAATGTCTCTGGTTAAATTTTGTTTGCTTTTTTCTTTTGTTGATTAGATCAGTTAAAGGTGACATCATATGGTATTTGTTCCTCACTGCCTGTCTTATTTCACTTACCATAATGATTTCCAGTTCCATCCATGTAGTTGCAAAGGGGAGGAGCTCCTTCTTTCTCTCTGCTGTGTAGTATTCCATTGTATAAATATACCATAGTATTTTGATCCATTCATTTACTGATGGGCACTTAGATTGTAAATCGGACTGCTATGAACAGTGGGATGCACAGGTCCTTTTGGATTGGCGGTTCAGGGTTCTTAGGATATAATCCCAGCAGTGGAACTGCCAGGTTAAAAGGGAGTTCCATTTTTAGTTTTGGGGGGAAATTACATACTGTTTTCAACAGTGGCAGCACCAAGAATGTACTAGTGCTCCCTTTTCTCCACAACCTCTATAACACTTGTTGTTTGTTGATTTGTTTATGATGGCCATTCTGACTGGTGTGAAGTGGTATCTCATAGTGGTTTTAATTTGCTTCCCTCTGATGGTTAGCAATGCCTAGCATCTTTTCATAGGTTACTGGGCCTTCTGTCCTCCTTGGAGAAGTGTCCGTTGAAGTCTTTTGCCAATTTTTTAGTTAGCTTGTTTATCTTCCTGGAGTAGAGTCATGTGAGTTCTATATATATTTTGCACATCAAAATCATTGTCCGAGATATCATTGGCAAATATGTTTTCCCATATAGTTGGCTCTCTTTTCATTTAAATGCTTTTTTTCTTTAGTCATGCAGAAGCTTTTTAATTCGATGAGGTTCAGTTTGTTTATTCTTTTCTTTATGTTCCTTGCTCTAGAGGACATATTGGTGAAAATACTAATGTGTAAAATGTCTGAGGTTTTC